TTTGTAGAGGGGAGCTTGGTGGCTCTATATGATAAGCACTGGACTGCTAACCACAAAGTTGGCAGCTCAAGCCTACCAGCCACTCGAGGGACAAAGATGAGACTTTCTGCTCCAGCAAAGATTTACAGCCTTGGTTGTAACTCAGGGTTGCCATGAGTCAAAAGCACTTAACAAGGGCCATAGTCACTGGGGCTTCACCAGTCTTAGACCAGTAAGCTTGGTCTTTTTTTATGATTGTGAGTTTTGATCCATATGTATATATCTGAGGTATGTGTGTCTACATGTTAAGTGCTGGGGAGTTGGTTCTGACTCTTAGTGACTGAAGAGTTTTCTGAGGTTTGAACTGCTAACCTTGTGGTTCACAATCCAGCGCTTATCCTATGAGTCACCATGCTCTGCGTATATGAGGATTTCAAAAATCTTGTGATGAAATTCCATTATCTTTTCATTCCATTTTTCCACGAACGCTTTAAAATCCCCTCGTATATACTCAGGTAGCGTAGTATGGTGCAGTTAGATAAGCAATGGCTGTGAACTCCCGCCACAAAGAAAGCCACCAGCTGCTCCCTGGAAACCCTATATACAGCCGCTGTCAGTCAGAACTGACTCGACAGCACTGAACAACTGAAGCGTAGATACAGAGACTGGATGCCAGAGGACCCTGCTGACCAATGGCCATGGACCCTTGCTAGAGGGTCATCTGGGTCTGGGCATCCTTCCCCATCACTTGCGCTTAGACGCAGGGCCCATGTGGAGGAGATTAATTTATTTCTGAACTTAGATGGATGTGAAGCTGGTGGCCACGTGCTCTCACTTCCTGTCCTTCCTTGCCTGGCCCCTACCCCTCCAAATGAAGAGGGTATGGTCCTATCCCCTTCTGCCACACATTTGTCCTTCCTTCCTTGCCTGTCCATCCACCTCTTGACCTTGTTTAACAGATGCACTTCTCCCCCCAGAGCAGAAGCAGGGGAACCCCTCCCAGAGCCATGTGCTATTTGCACAGCTAGGGGAAGGCCTTCATCACCTCCTCCATCCCCGCACCAGGAGTCACCATGGCTGCATCAGCTGAAGACCACTGACAGGCCCCTCTCCCAGCACTAGGTCTTTACTTACCTTCCACTCCTTCTTCAGTCCTGCAGTGGATAAGGAAAAACCTCCTCAAGGGCCAGGCCCCAGGCTCTCTGGCCCTCCGCAGGCCCTGGGACAGTGCTGACAATGGACGACAGCAGAGTCTCCGGAGTGGGTGCCCTCTCAGCGTCCCTGGGAACTTCTGAAGCTGGTCTCCTCCCTGTGATTCAGGCTCCTGAGCACAAGCTGAGTCAGGCAGCCTCCCAGTGCTGGGTGGCTTGGCTGCGTCATCACAGGAGGGAAGGCAAGAGGGGCATGGTGTTGGGCAGAGTGCTCACACCACTTTGCCTAGAAACTGTCCCCAAAGAATAAAACAGCTTAAGACAAGAAGGCATTCCTATCTGCAGAGAAGATGAAACTTGTTTATTCATCATACAAACATTTTCTAACTTAGAAAGAGATGGGTCAGCGCCAGGGGAAAGGCTTCCTAAAAATTGAGCCTGGATGTGACTTTCCCCACAAGCTAACCCCAGCCAGAAGGAAATAATCATTTCTAGAAACATTTTTTGTACACTTGGTCAAAATACAATTTTATCCACAATTTTCAAACAGCACTCCACCTTAAGGAGAGTCCAAACTCCTTATACTTCTCCAGAGTTTAAATATTTCCTTGTCCAGACAAGTTCTTACTTGCCTCCGTAGGGTCTGCAAGCTTACAGGAGAGCACACTAACTCTGAAGCCACCCCTTGCTCTGTGTGACAAAACAAGCTGTGGGAAGAAAACAGAGAGTGGCTTCTAAAAATCCCCTTACAGGGAAAACGGAAAAATAACTTTATGAATAAAGAACAGCAAGTAAGATCTTGCTTGTTCGCAGACGGCAACACAAACCAATTCAATGTTGTAAGGGAGGGGCAAGAATTCTACCCTCAGAGTATGGCTGAGAAGGCTGGGCTTCTGATTTTAGAAAATCCATGGCATTTTCCATGCTGTTTCTCTGATATAGGAAAGTTGGGATTAACAAAAAAATTTTTAAAGGCCGAATATGTACACAAGTACCAATTTCAGACAAATATGAACCTACAGTAATAACAGAATCTGTTCAATGATAGGGATGTGAAGACATAATGAATCATAGATGACTTCTGTAGTTAAATGATTATCAGTAAAGTCATCTTGTCCTGATTCGTGGTTAGAACCCACCAGCTGCTCCTCAGGAGAAAGATGAGACTAGCTGTTTCCATAAAGAGTTACAACCTGAGAACCCCTGTGTCTTACAGGGTCCCTCTGAGCTGGAACCAACTCAAAGACAGTGGGTCTAGACTCTTACGAGTTGTCGGGTCACACGTTCAAGGTCTCACACATGAGGGGAGCAGGGAGCATCACCTGACTCCGAAGCCTGCTACCTGCCCTGGGGTTACTTTGTGGGATGCTTTCTTGGGGGTCATTTGTAACTCTTATCCTCCATGAGAAAACCTGCCTCTTTCCACTGTCTCTAGGGCAGCTGGATCCTTCTGCACACCTGGAGTTGGGCATTATGAAAAACTCTAGATTCCTATATTTGTCTAACAGTTGACTATGTGGACTAATACAACACTAAAAAAGACACTAACTTTGAAATAAATTTTGCTTCTTTCCAAAAGAAACTGCCACTTTAATGCTGTTTTCTGTTCCTCCGTCATTGCTAGAAATTCATTTACCTGGTTAGAAAAAGCAGAGAAGACAGGTATTTCTGGAGTAAACACAGATGACACTTCTTGACAATGGGAAACTTTTACCTGCTTGCTAAAAACGGGCTCTCCTTCACCATGAATGAGAAGGGACACAGAGCAGGACAGGCTGCCCACCAGACCCTCTGAAGACAATCCGGCTCGGCAGTGATAACACCCCTACACAAAACGGACACAGAAGCTGGAACACAGGTTCTGTGGGATGTCCTGCGACCTGGTGTTAACATCGAGTCTCCAAGTACTGCTACTGAAGTACAGACCATGGAGGATGCTCAGAGCTGACTCTACCTAGCTTCGTAGGTGAGAGATCCCCAACCCCGCCCTGGAAGAGCCTGCATGTGACTGGGGAGTCTCTGGTCTCCAGGGGTCCTACACACCTGTGTAAATGCCCTACGGGTTTCTGCTCTTTGGCTGGAGGCCTCGATCATTATCAGTCACACTAGCTAGGACTGTAACACAGCATGGAACCATCTGGTCATGCAAGGCCACGTGTATTCAGTTCAAGATGGCCTTTTTCCAGGCCTTTCTACCACGTGTTCACAAAACCCAACTAGATGCTTTACCGTGCAGCCCAGTGTCTCCTCAGCAACTCTCCCGGTGAGGCTGCATGAGTGGAGGGTGCCCGTGTGGTCAGTGAGGTCCACCAGCAAGTCAAAGCTGGGAAAGATAGAAGGAAATGCTGCGGAGTCTTTGTTGCATGTGGAACAAGCGTTGGATGCTTCGTTTACAATGTAACCACAGCCCAAACTGAAAAGGAACAAAAGAGCATAATAAAACAGGGCGCCTGTAAGGTGCAGTTACAGCTCTTCAGAAGGACGGCCGCTGAAAAGGTGAAGGCAGCACACACAGCACCTTGTTGGTGGCTGGCCCCATGCAGGACACGCGGTACTGTAGCAGGGCAGTCTCATTTGTAGCACGGTTCCCCTGCCCACGCTGAGATTCCCAGACTCCAAGGCCAGCTCCCTGCTCTGAGCAGCTGCAGTCCTCACCGGAGAGGTGAAGTGGAGGAGTGCACAGGAATCTACCTAGAGGCTGGATTCCAGGTCCTTCTACTGTGGCCTCCAAACATGTCCAGAAAATCTCCCAGAGATTTTCGGGTTCCATTTCCTGACTGCTGGTAACACAGTCACGCAGTCTATCCCTCTGAGGAGTTCTTTAGGCAATTTAGGCAGTAAGACTAATTTCTAGACTAATTTCAGACAGAGGAAAGGTCTGGAGATGGTGACCCCTGGTCTAGCCACAGGCAAGTCTGTAGTAACTGTTTAGATATTTAATTTTTAGATATTTCAGACATCAATATTAGAGATGAGGGAAAAATAAGGAAGATAATACAAAACATTTTTGAAAAAATAGACATATGCCTTGCACAGCAGCTTCTACATTTGCTTTTCAATTTGAACCCCAAATCATACATAGCATGTTTTCAAAATCTTGACTGCAGCGGTGCATACAAAAGGCTACATATGTGATAACGCTGTACAGAACACACACACACGTGGGCTGTATCCAGGTCCATATCCTTGAGTTGTAGTTTTGAAAACATTACAATCAGGAGAGAGGCAGCAAAGCGCAAAGCGTATGAATGAGCTATTGTTCTGACTGCTACATGTGGCTCTGCAGTTCTCTCAACACAACTTCAGTGAGAAAATCCACAGGAAGATTTTCGTGGTCAGATTTTGGAGGCTGCTGGACCAGCAGAGTTTAGCCAGGGCATTAAACCCACTAAGGAGCTTTGGGAGCGTAGTGGTTACGAATCGGGCTGCTAACCTCAGGTCAGCAGTTCAAAACTACAAGCTGTTCCACAGGAGAAAGATGAGGCTTTCTGCTCCTGTAAAGATTCACAGCCTCAGGAACCCTGTGCAGGGTCGCTATGAGTCAGAACCAACTCCACGGCACATAAGCACCACCACCCATTAAACCCATTGAGGCTGGCTTTTCCACACAGGCAGGTACTGGATTTTATATGAAAGATGCTGAAGAGCCGATTCAGCATGCAGTGGGAAATAATTGTTTTTTAAGTGCCGTCACTGCATTAGTATAGGACACAAGCACCAAAATTATTTTCTATTAAATGAAGACAACAGCTTGTTACTCCAGATATGTATCTATAGCTTTATTTTTAGGGTTACAGTACAGTACAGTGCATTTTACTTTAAGTGGGAATGATTATCTCTGAGTCTAAACTGTTTGGCATGAAACGTTTCAGTACAAGCGATTTCTCTCAAATACATAACCACTCTCATGTCGAAGAGAGGCTGTTACTCTTTTAAGAGTTTAAGATTTATAAAAAATAATCTTTTTTTCCCTCCTGTTTTACAAAACTGAATTTGGTGGGAGGAAGTTGGTTGCTTACCATCTATTGCGAACAACGCTTGTTGCTTGGCCATCCAGGCTCAGGGTAGAAATGTACGTGTACAGAATGCCATAGAAAGGATCTACCTTCCCTTCTTTCTTCAAAGCTTTCATCTTTAATTGCTTCACTGTATAGACTTCAACTATTTCACTTACTAAAAAATATAAAAAACAAGTGATTCCAGTTTACATACATTCTGAGAAAGACTAAGGATTATATCCAAACAGAAAAACTTCAAAGTTCAAGTGAGAAGTAGCTTAAGTAGCAGAGAACTATTAGTCAGCCTGGCATTGTTAAATGCTGTTGAATCAGTTCCAACTCACAGCACGCTGTATAAACGCTCCTAGGCTGTAAATCTTTACGGGACTAGAAAATCTCATCTTTTTCCTGCAGAGCAGCTGGTGGGCTTGAACTTCTGACCTTGTGGTTAGCAGTCCAGTGCTCATCCTCTAAAGGCACTGTGCTCCCACTGTAGTTCTTATTAGGTGCCACCGAGTCGGTACCGACTCACAGTGGTCATACAGAAACTGATTATAGAAAGAGACAAAGAAGTATCAACAACAACAAAAAGCAAAAACAGGAAAAGGCTGTGAAGTTAGTCATCAGTAAAATGAAGAATGTTTGGTCATCAAAAGATACCATTACTAC